AAGGTAATCTAGAAGATGGTGATATATAACATCTCCTGCAGACGTCACATTCTACACCTTGTCTTTTAACCTTGCTCCATGGATGTGCTAACTATTCATATCATGGAGGACTCGTCCGACAGTGCAGTGTTTTGGGTCCAGGTTCAGTGCGCTGATCCCTTCCTGCTAAACTACTGGCTTCAAAAGACCTACTTCAACAATGGGGAAGTCCAGCAGATCAACACCCTGAGGATAAACGGCTATCGTGGGCTAGTGTTTGTTTTGAGGGTGCTGCATCGTTCTTCAAGCCTCCCTAATTCCCATTATTGGTGCCCTTTCCTAGTGACACTCTGCCTCGATGCCCTGGCATTTCACTACCACCTCCCCTCTATACCCCAGTGGAACGGCACCCTTCGAGAGGCGATGAGAGGAAACAGCCTAGAGCTCAGACGCTGAGATTTTATTTTGCTGCTTACAGATCCTATTAGTTTCAGATGTTTGCTTAATAAAGTGATGCACCGAAAGTAGTACATCTTACCATTGTAAAGGTAGTACGTCCCGTCTTTGAACACAGCAATGGCGGGAACATCCTGCAGAGTGACCGCCTATGGAGAAAATCAGTAATGAATTGAATCAGGGTTTTTTTTCTAAGAAGCTGATTATTTTACAGAGATATTTTCCTCAGATAAGTGAAAGTCTTACCTTTGGGAGGACTTCCTCAGATGCAGTAAAAAAAATATGTGTGGACAATATATTCAGTAGCAGCTTTGTAGTATTCCTTCTGTTTAAAAAAGAAAAATAATGTACATTACATTTCACTAGTAGTATATTATACTAACCATTTCTATATAACTATGCAATAAATCTATTCATAAAGTTTATTTATACAACAATACAACTTTAAAATAAAATACTATCCAGTAGCAGTGGTATTTGTGAACTCATGCTCCAGTGTTCAATAGTTTTCATTTTATTCCTATTCCATCATAATTCATTCGCTGTATGTAAATATGACCTATATTAATTTTACATAATGTTTACCTTAAGGAGTGACTCCCGTCTAATGTAAACGAAGATAAGATCATGATAACTCATAACATGCTGGAACAACTGAACACTAGAGAGTGATCTTACCGCAGGTCTAGATTAAAGAAAAAAGGTCAAGGGGATAGCATGAGGAGAATTACAACTAGCATTGACATGAGACTAAAATCTATGCAGAACACGAAAGACACAAGACAATTCATTATGGTGAAATTTACTCCTAAATTACCCTGAAACTCTGTTGGTGAATTCAATAATAGCATCCTTTGTTCTAGGTCCTTTGTAGTCAAAAGACAGATCTCCTTTAAACCTTATTAAAAGAACAGAACAGAGTCAAACACATCATACAGCATGAACAATTCTTGGTTATTAATAATAATTATTGTCTGTATTATTATTAAGTACTCAGGTTATCTTTGTGTAATATTAAAATTAGTTTGATGATCTGAATCTTTTAAGTGTGACAAATATGCAAACAATTAAAAAAACAGGAAGGGGGCAAAAACTTTTTCACACCACTGTATATGATAATTAGGCATTAACTCACAGTTTTATGGTTGGATATCCACGAATATTAAACTCTGAAGCAATACCTAAAGACAGAGAGATTAAGCATTCTAGTTTTTTGCAAACATTATTTCTGTTTTATTGTTTTTATAAATTAGTAAACAAACATAATATTGGAGATAATAATAGCAGTACTATTCATGTTATTACCTAAAGTGTTATGTTAGCTATATCATTAGTAAATCACAATAATTGTTAATTTGCTTTGATTTTCCCCCCCTTTTTTTAAACTAGTCTAGTCTAGTCTAATCTAATTAATAACAGAGTGTATTCATGGTGGGGGGTAAAACACAAGACATGGGCTACATTTCATTTACCCAGAAAGCTTATGTGTAAACTTAATAATAAGAAGATTATGCAGTCGGAAGACAATGGCAGCAAAAGGCAGACACTGAACAACCTAATTCCAAGAAACTAAAGAGATTTCTAATTGCTGAAATGCAACTTATGCCATATGGCCATCTGGTTAACAAGATACAGACTCAACGCATACTACGTATACATTTCAAGTACTGAGTCTCATGTATGCATGAGGCCTGCTTAACTAATCCCATTAAACAGCAGGTAAGCCTATCCTGCCATTTAAGTAGCATACTAATTGGTTGCTAAGCAATGGCCTGGTGTGGCATTACCATTACTGTCATCTCAAACCAAGCTACAACAGCAGATATAACTTTCATCTAGAGGGGGTATGGCACAAATGCAGTTCTTGCTAAAATAATGTATGATTTTAGGTATGCAATCAATGTAATTTAAGTTTTCCAACATACACACTTTTATAGACGTGAACTGAACCCACTTGTGTGCACTGTGGTATCAATCTTGCCAACATTAACAGGAGAGCCCATACTCTTCAGCTCTGCACCAACTTCATACCATATTGGCTCGAATGTGTGACAGTATGCGCACCATGGTGTATAAAACTGCAAAATATATTTAAAAAAAAAAGCATGATACCACACAGCGGGCATGACACAAAGATACAAAGTAAACATATCACACAACATAAAACTGCATAAATTAAACTGCACTGTATACACTCTCACCTCCACCAGCCAGAGTTCATTTTTTAGGTATTCCTTAAACCTGTAAAAGGGAAATGTTTAATGCAGTCAATCACACATTGATATCTATCTATGCAATAAGTAATATGACAAACCACAAGCCTTGACAAATTAGAGTTGCCTACAGGCAACCCTTTTAGCTGTGACTATTTACAAAGCAGCAGTCTAGAGAGGTTGAACTCCCACCCCTTACGATGAAGTTAAATAGGTTTGGTATTTGTCTGGAAAACAAAGAGTTGGATTTTGTTATTAATTTCTTGCTTTGTCTTGGAAAGTTTTTCATTCATAAATGTAGATGGTTTAAATCTAAACCCAACTTTAACCAGTGGATGAATGAGGTTAAAATTTTGTGCAAATCTTTAGAATTGGTTAAAAACAAGAAAGCTCTCAAATTGATTTCGTTTTTGGGGCATGTATAAACTAATGTAAAAAGCCCCTTTTGGTTTGTTTTGTTTTATTTGTTCTATTTATTTCTTTTCTTTTCTTTTCTTCTTTATTATTGGTTTATTGTGATCTTGTTTGTCACTGGTTATGCTCAACCTAAGGCTGTTCACGTGTTGTTAGATTATGTGATGTGTTTATGTACCTTGTTTGTTTGTTGTAAATGGAAGCATAATAAAAAATATAATTAAAAAAAATTACAAAGCAGCAGGCCTTGTGTACCTTATTACTTTTATAAAATGGTTCCCACATAATAAATATAGTTGTGATAAAGAATATTAAAAACACAAATTTCCATCAAACCCACTTTTCATTAATCAGACTCATTAAGTGCCATTTCTTCCAGTAGATCTCCGCACGTTGCTATGCAACAAAAATAACTACGCTCCACTGACATCAGCTTTACTACTAAAGCACAGTTAGTACCTATTCATGTATAACACTTACTTGTCATCGAGTTCCTCCACGTATCCTGACACCACAACAATGACCAACAGAAGCGCTATTAAAAAAGAAACGCAATGACACAGATTACGTGTCAATCAATCGTGTTAAAGAGATTTGTATTTTGCTGTTTATGTTAGCGAACATGGTGTCCATACAATTACTAGGCGTTCATACCTGTAAGTATTAAATTTCGCATTCTTGCAATCCGTATCTTGTCATTAACCGTACAATAGCCTTGACATGTTACAGGTAGCAGCGTCAGTGTTAGGTTAGTGACATAATCATCAAACTGGTAGTAAACTCTTGGCCGATTGACTAGATTAACCCCCTTTGCCCCGAGGGGTAGGAACGGACAGAATTAGGCCACAAATTGATTGTGGACCAGCGGTGAATGTTTCATCGCACAGTCTTGTATTTTACAGCGTAGCCTACAACAAAGACAAGCAAACACTATCAGTCTCAAAAGGGCCTTGTATAATAACATGTTCTGTGATGAGTCTATGTTAAATATTTAAATAATGTGATCACTAACTAAAACTCTCCCATTATTATTATTATTATTATTATTATTATATTGTTCTTGTTGTCATTACCCCACTTTATTTAGGTGTCTTTAACTACTATGTACTTACGTCAAAACAAATAAATAAATAATTGATTAGGCTTAAGGGTAAATTAAGGGGCAGGGATCAACGGTGTAAATCTAAGAAATTAATTAGGCTGCATATATGTAGTTGCATGCAGGTATTTTTAAAGAGATAATGCATTGTAATATACATTGTATCAGATTATTAATTTAAATGTTTGAAAGCTTAATATAAAGTAGGTAAATTATTATTGTTGTTTTTGTTATACAATTGGCAACTCTATTGCATATTGTTTTTAGTATGGTACTTGCTGTAGTATTCTCTTGAAAAAAAATGTTGCTTTCTCTCCCGAAAGATGGCGCCATAATAATCCATTTGGAATACAGATCTGCTTAAATAAATGGGCATCCTTACATTAACTTAATCCTGTGTTCACAACATTTTACGCACAGTGGATTAGTTTTACGTTTTTCTTAACCAATTTCTAACGAAATAAATGCTGTAAATGTTGTCAGTCATTTTTTCCTCAGCTGTTTATTGTTCTTACAATTGTTTTCGATCCTATAATAGCATATAATGCATTTAAAGCCTTCATAGTAGTTTAGAAAACGGCCTTATTACTGTTTATTATTGTGAATGTATCTTTGTTTATGTATTTTAGTGTGCCATACAAGCAAGCTTGTCATTGGACAGCTGCACCTTGAGGAAACATTTTGATTCGAGCAAGAACAAGTCAATCAATCAGAATACCCGCCCACTATGCAATCTGCCTTCCCGGTGATTGGTTCAAAACAGTACCGTTTAAGGAGTCTCTTGTATCTCAATGGCTGACGTTGACGTCTATCTCCATCAAATGAAAACGTAAGTTTGGTCCGTGGGGAGAGGCAACTGTTATGGAAGTGGTTGTCTCTTGAATTTACTTCACTGTATTTTCACTCACCCTAAATGGAATAACGTCTTTGGGGATTCACTGCTTGTTAAATTTGTTCGGGATATAGAAACTGAGCGAAGAGCCTGGCATGATATAGAAAGAGCTCGCGCGTTATTTATTTTCTCTTGACCGCTTCATGTTTGTGGATAGCGCGACAAAACATACGCAGTTGTCTACTTGTGCATGTTAAAATTGGGTTTCTATCGGAATGGTTGTGATAGTCTCGGTAAATTAAGTTTTAAGACGCGCACACGGTGCTTGTGTTGTTTAGTTTGTCTTGGAGTTCAAATATAGCCTAGCCGACGCTCGGTCAAAACAAGCAGTTATATCTACATGTGAATATATGGATTGCAGTATATGGCCCTCGTCTGCTGTTGCAAAATGCAATGGGACGAAGTGAGGCATTTCGACCGCCAGAATATATTTGCTTCACTTTCAAGCCTGATAAGCAGGTAAGACACCGAACTTTGTGTATGATAGGGTGTTTTCTTTTTAGTTTTAAAGTGCGTTAAACTTGAGAACTAGGCGCGTGTGTCAATAAACAATTAAAGTGCGCTTTGGTGTCCACTTATGTGTAACAGTTTAATGACGGCATGCAGTTGCACCTGATCACTATTCTCTGCGGTATGCAGGCGCTTATTGTTTTGCAGCAACCGAGTTCACTTTCGGTCAGCATCAATTATGCGATCTCGGATTGCAACACTTGCACTTCCGAGATGTTTCTTCGCGCCCGCTTTGTGCTGGCTTCCCTAGTAACTACGAAAACCGTGTTAAAAAACACACACACGGCGGTAAAGTTAGTTTGACGTTTGACATTCATTAGACATTCGGGTTTTTTGCCAATTAAACTCTTTGCAGCTTTTATGTTTTGAGCCCAAACTAACTCAGATAGACATAAATATATGCCCGTTATGTTGCACAAGGCTTAATTTCTAGGAATTAAAAAAAATAAAATTTACAGTATATAAAACATATGAAAAATATGGATTCAGTACTGTATATAAAAACAGTAAAGGCATAATCTGAAAAAACAAGCCTTGTGCATTATAGGTAATAATATTCTGAATATTTTACAGTTAGTTTGATACCTTTATCTCAAACTGTCAGAGTTTAATTAATTTAAGTGGATACAGTATATAAAACATGTGAAAAATATGGTTTCAGGACTGTATATAAAAACAATAAAGGCATAATCTGAAAAATCAAGCCTTGTGAGTCTATCTGAGTTAGTTTGGGCTCAAAACATAAAAGCTGCAAAGAGTTTAATTGGCAAAAAACCCGAATGTCTAATGAATGTCAAACGTCAAACTAACTTTACCGCCGTAACACACACATTAGCATGACTGGTTTATCCTATACTCACAATTAATTAGCGTGCAAATCAGTTTGCAAATTCACATGGATCGCTAGGAACCGTTGCCATCGTTTCCTTAACGTATTTGTTCCTGGCGATAAAAAGATGAGGATGGTTTTAATTAAACAAAATCGTTCAATTGTAAATAAGTCGTTATTGTAATTTTATATATTGACTGTGAAGTGCATTATGTGTTTAACCTTGTTAACTGTGGTCATTAATAGGCCTATTTGGGTCTAAGAACAGATTTTAAAGTGTTAAGCAGATTCATGAAAAACACAGCTTTACTGTAAAGTATGTTAAATGCATGCATGCAAAAAATGTGTGGTATGAGCTGAAAAATCTGTACAAGATGTTCAAGTTCTCATTTCTTATTTCTAATCTTTGGAATGTCAGACATACTGTTGTTCACATAATCCATGAGTAAATGGGGTTGCATTGTCTAATCACGTGATTTAAAATACCTGTGAATGACCTGTAGAATGTGAAGGCATTACAACCTCTTTTGGGATTTTTGTCTTTTTGGCTGCTAGAGATCATGAGATGAGATATCAGTTAAAAATTAGAGTAGTGCTAGATCAGAATAAGGTCTTATTGTGTAATGTTTGCAATCAGCTTACTGCCATTGCTGTTGTTTTGGTGAAACCCCTTTGTAGTAACCCAGTGCATAATTTTTGACCCTATGTGACATGCTTATTTCCAGGCTGAGAGTGTTATTTTGGGAAACGGTGATTAGTATATGGGTCCAATCATGCAGTAAGCTGAGCATTGAATGTTGGCTGGCCTTAAGGCTGTCCCAACTGAAGGTCAAGTTTGAAGTGAGCTCTGTGGAATGTTGCCACTGGAATCATGACCTAAAACAGTAGTCCTGCCATTCTTACACTCTCCAACCCTCAGTGTGCAACAGTTTTGGTAGCTTTCTACTGTAAATCGCATATTTTAGTGTATGTTTATAGAAACAAAAATAGAGGGACAGCCCACCTTAATTGTTATTGAAGGTTAGACATATGATTGGCTCCTTCATTACAAGGGAGGGTGGGGTGAGGGAGCTACAGAAATGGACTTGATTCATCACACTGTAGTGAGTAGAGCCAGCTGTTGAGCAGCCTAAAGATGATGATACATGGGGCAGCTTTTATGAGCAATGTTGCTTGGGCACTTTCCCATTGAGAATGGGCAACAAATTTCTAACTGGATACTTTAGATCGGTTGTGGGCCCTGTGTCTCACCTGGTTACTCGTTGACTGCAACATTGCCCAGCAACATAGCTCAAAAAGTTGCCCCGTGTATCATCACCTTAAGGCCTGTGTGAATGTTTGGTCCTTTTAAAGTGGCTTTTTACTGGGGTGTGGCACTCAAATGTAAATGGGAGGCAGTGTTTAGATCCTGGCAGAGTTTTGTGTTATTTATTTATTTCCCGATTTCATTCCTAAGCTTACAACTGGAATGTTACAGGAGACCCCGTGTTTATCCCGTATCCGTCCTGTTTTTTGTTTTTCCTGATGAATGAGGGGAAATGAGTGTGAATGGTTTGATTCTGTGTTCATTTACAGAAAATAGTCTATGTGATTTATTTTTATGCCATTGGGTATTGTTTGTTTGGATACTGTAAGAAATGTCAAATTTAAGCTGCTTGCACTTGGCAGGTGTGTTTACTATCCTAACCATATTTCCCCATGTTTTCCTTAATTTTATCTTAAACAATTGGGCAAAAAGTGCTTAGTATAGCTGATAATGGTTAGTACGTCAAAGAGTGGTTTTTAGATTTTCTTTCAAGCATTTAAAAGATATTAAATAAAGTGTCTAAACAGTGTTTTTATTCTCAATTAAAGTTGGCATGGAATGAATCTTTATTCCCTTTAAATATTTTGCTACTTCTGTTTAATTTTTAATTTTTTTTTTTTTAAATGGGAATAGGATATTTTCTGGGACTCAGCTCAAGATCGGCCGTTTTCATAATCAACTTTTCAGTCTACCATTTCCTTCACTATAGATTGTTCACTCAAATAAAAGCAATACAGTTGTTCAGTTACTGTAAAAATGGGAACTATAATAGGACATAGTATTATTAATAGGGCTGCTCCCTAATAGTCGACTAATCGTTAGTCGACCAGAAAAAGCTTGGTCGACCAAAATTTGTTAGTCGCTTAGTCGCAGAAGTCAGGCGAAGTCACGTAGTCCGTGACTAACAGATCGTTAACGGCTGGTCTATGGTAATACAGTACATTGGGCAGGACATCCAAACGTTCACCTATCATTCATCGACCTCAAATATGGCTTATCATATGAAATATGTAAGTAGCAGCAACTTTACATGGCTGCTCAATCTAATGTTAACCTAGAGAAATGTGCGCTGTTTAAGTGTGTGTGCGGAGACTGGAAGCTGAACAGTAGCGCTCACTTCAGGACAGATGGAGGCGCCGGTGCGCTCACTTGC